TTTGGGTGAATACATCTCATATTAATGATAGATAAGTTAAGAACGTGATGTCAAAAATGGAGAAGAGGACGCCAGAAGCCGCCAAATCAGCGATACAAAAAAAACTCTTAAGCACCTTTTTGTGTCAAACAAACCCATGGAATAGAAGTGGTTTGACCTCGAATTCGCAACTTGGTTGTGCTGTCAAGGCGATCCAGTTGTGGGAAAATTCTACTACCAATCCTTCATCATCTTAGACGAAATTGGTTGAATACATCTCCTATTAATGATAGATAAATTAAGAACGTAATCTCAAAAATGGAGAAGAGGACGCCAGAAGCCGCCAAATCAGCGATACAAAAAAAACTCTTAAGCAACTTTTTGTGTCAAACAAACCCATGGAATAGAAGTGGTTTGACCTCGAATTCGCAACTTGGTTGTGCTGTCAAGGCGATCCAGTTGTGGGAAAATTCTACTACCAATCTTTCATCACCTTAAACGAAATTTGGTGAATATCGCTTATATTACTGATTTATTGGTAGTCTCTAAACTCTACTCTAATACTTATCTATCATTAATTCGCTCTCTTCTGCTTACAACTTCACACTTGTGCCCTCTGCTCGTTCTCACCGTGCAGTCGTCTCGTGCCAATATAACCTCGGCTTTTCACCCTTTCCGACAGATTTGCTGTGCAGCCAATGACATTTCGCAAACTAAACCAACTCGCCATTGACCTTGTGAGAAGGTGGTGCTCACAATTTTATGGTTGCTCACTTGTTGGGTCGAGTTGGCACCGTCGCCAGCCGAGGACAAAGCCTTTCCAAATCTGACGCCAGCTCACGAGTAGGAGACAAGCGTGGCACACCATCAACTCCCAGCTCAACTGTCAAAAGTTATCTTGCTTGTCTCAAGTCACCTTGTCGTGTCGTACAGTTTGGTTGGATTTTCCGAGTTCAAATAATTAATTCCATCTCTAACTTCCCGGTACAGAGAATCGCTGCAATGCTCATGTGCCGAAATTACACATGGCTCCAAGGGGTAGGCGAAACTTTGTCTACCTGTGCTTAAGTACACAAAAGAGGGGCCAAATGTCAACCCACATTGGCCTACCAGCTCAGTGTAGGTCCCCAAACAGTTGTCTCATCTTCCATCGTCTGTGCAGCCAGTCGTAAGTTGCACAAAACCGCTTTCTTCATGCCCCTCGTGCAAAAGACATACACACATCGACATGTAGCTGTTGGCTTCAGACAGTTTGTTGCAATACCTGCGCATGAGATACCGATTTGGCGCTAATTTCGGCACTTCATGTGTTTGGCAATGGCTGTCACGGTGGTGGCTACTAGGTTGCATAGATGTACTGTACACTATTGCCTTGCCTTAGCTCTATCAACCGGTACTGTTACGAGCAATATTGATTTGATCGCGGATCATCTGTAGTCTATCGCAATGTTTAACCTTCGAAGAGGCATTCCTTGATTTCCTCCGCGCTTAGCGACAAATGACTCTAAAAGACGGCATTTTGCGAGAATTTCATAGCTCTGCTCAACTATGATGGTCTAGCCAGTCTTCCAGCCACTACGCCCTTTCATGAGGTTCACCCATCTACTGACCTCTACCTTTACATAAGTCCGATCCTATAGAGATTTTAGAATAGGTAAATTCAAACTACATCAAAAAATCCTGCTGAGCGGATCGGGAGTTAGTAATTATTTATAATCTGAAACTCGTTTGCACTATAATGGTTAGACAAATCTCCGCTATCACTTTTTAACTCACCCTAGGAAACCATGGTGGCTGAGTTGTTCTTTAAGAATTATTGAGTTTCGAGACATTTTCATATGAAATATGTCTTATTTATCATTTACGCCGTGGTTCGATGCTGGGGCTAGGATATTTCACCCTTAGCCATCCATTTTATCCACGGTGTTTGCACGATCTATTGATATTTTCTTTTTTACCATCTTCCCGAGTGGTTGCAGGGCGAATCTCGAATCTCGCATCCAACGACCTCTGATTTCCCACTTATCTTTGATGGTCTGTCTGAAGTCCAGCCTTCTCAGAATGACGCTCAGTGTCGTAGGCTGACGAACCAACTCGTAGCCGATTCGCCCTTTGAGTCGTCTCAGCAGAGAACTCGTCAGATGAGGATGGTATACCTTTCCTACCTCTGACAGTACATTTTAGAAGAACCATAAAAAAATTTCACCTCTGACTGTCCCCTCGGTTCTTTCGATTGAGTCTAACTTGGTGGCCCCTTCTTCGCAGGAGCTATCTTCTATGTCTCAGCTAGGCTTATTGGATACAGCCTTTATAGCGAACCTTAGGCATCGACCAACCACGTCACTTCTCGACCTTTTACAGCCCCTTTAAGGGAATTTGTGACACATCCAAGATTATGTACATTGGTTAGCAGGCTTAGCATCATTCGTCATTTTTCCTAAATGGCGCCGATCCCTTTCGAAATTGGGCCATTCCTTATCTTCTGCATTTATTCTGTCGTCATGGACGCAGTTCACATCTTCGAGGGAAAACTATCACGAATCCAGTAGCGACTGTGGTTTCATTTAACTAGGCGCGAACTCGGTACGTGATGGTTCTGAGACGAAGCAGAGATAGAGAAACACGATACCAGTTCTGAATTGTTTTGAGTTTCTCCGAGGAAAAGAGGTAATTCACAGTTTTTGTACAACTACAAATTATGATATAAGATGTTTTCACCCTTTTTCATTTAAGGTGATGAAGGATTGGTAGTAGAATTTTCCCACAATGATATGAGTTGAGCTGACGTTTCCATTCCATTTCACATTGCCTTGCTTTCCCAAAAGTGGTTCTCATCTCGGCTGGGGTGGACTGCAGTTTCGACCTCGCATCCGACCTCGCTATCAACACCTCAAGCTGGAGTCGAACCGTGACAGGGCAGCATTTGATCTCGGCCACATTGCCACGAGCGCCCTTAAATCACGGGACAGATGTGTATTTTAAGGAAGTCCAGGCCTTTTCCCATATCACATTCTTTCAATTCAGTGGAAATGTCAGCTCTACTCATAGCATTGTGGGAAAATTCTACTACCAGTCCTCCATCAACTTAAACGAAATAGAGTGAATGCATTTCATATAACTGATTTACCGGTAGCCTCGAAACGCTACTTACATACAATTTATAAGCTTGATGCATATTCTAATATAGTCACAAGAGAAGTGGAGTATGTCGAGGTGTGCATAAAATGCTTAGTTATACGTTCTCAAATGAATCACTTTCCTTTAGAGTATTGTTTGCTCCCTGATTGAATGGCACCGGGGCCCTAAATCCAAGCTCCATCGTGTGAGC